AACTCTGTATCTACAACTCAACCTCTTTTTTGTACTTTAATGATCTATTCTGTCTATTCTCAGCCTGTGGGTCTCAACCCCTTAGACGAACCTCTCTCTCCAAAAAATATTTAAGTTATAATTCATGACAGTAAAAAAATAATTTTATGGCTGGGGTCACCACAACACGAGGAACTGTACTAAAGGATCACAGCATTCGGAAGTTTGAGAAGCATTAGGAAGGTGCTCAAGGCACCCCTGTAAGTAGAATCCTACAGTATATCTTTGGTTTTTGTTTTGTTTGCTTGTTTTCTTTTTTTCTTTTGAGGCAGGGTTTCTCTGTGTAACAGTCCTGACTGTCCTGGAATATTCTGTAGACCAGTCAGGGCTGGAGCTAAAGACATGAGCCACCACACATGACATAACTGTCACATTTGTGTTATATACTGCCCTTAGGGCTCACCTACATGTGGCTTGTGACAGGATTTCTTTTTTTCCTTCCATCTTCTAAATCTGAATTATATTTCATGGATGTACAGACCATATCGTTTATTCATTCACTCATTGCTAGATGCCACCTTTGGGTGGTTGTGAATGTTGCAATGAACAAGGGTGTGCAAGCATCTTTTTCCTGTCCCTGCTTTGAATTTGATGCTGGCTTTGTTCTCTTGGTTTGCTTGTTTGTTTATTTATTTTGGCAGTGTTGTCGATGGAACCCAGGGATTTGCTCAGGCTGTGAAAACCTCCAGGCAGGCCTTTTGCCTCTGCCTCCTGAGGGCTGAGATCACAGGGCCACTACATCACACCTGGTTCAATCTCCTGGGGTTTACACTTGAGATCTTAACTAAAAGACTGAGAAGAGATCCCTCCCTAGCAGTTGGCTTGTTGAGGTGCGGTCACTTGGAGCCCAGGTTGACTTTGAATTCCATATGTAGTCTAGGATGACTATATGTATACTGTCTTCAGGGGCCTGTGAATACTAGGCAAGCATGCTATCAGCTGAGCTACATTCCAAACTCACATGATCTTAAAAGATTTACTTTATTTTGAATTTGTATATCCATAGGATTTTATGTATATCCATAGGAGTATTGAGCACATACTAAGCCTTATAGGAGGTTGTGAGCTTCGTGACATGGGTATTGGGGACTATCTATGGGAGAAAATCATAATGTACTCTTACCCTCTGAGCTATCTCTCCAGCTCTTCCTGATTTAAACAACAGCAACTATTTCATGTGTATGAATGAGTGTTTTGCCTGCATGTATGCGTATATGTGTACCATGTATGTGTCTGGTGCTCAAGGAGGTCAGAAGAGAGGATTAGATCCCCTGGAACTAGAGTTACAGTTGTGAGCCATCACATGGTGGGACTCAAACCTAGTTCCTCTTTAACAGCAGCCCCTCTCCTGATTTTTGAAAACATTATTCACCAATAGATATTTAAAAAATAATGCTGCCCGAACCAGGCATGGTGGTATTGATGCTTGTGATATCAATATTCAGGAGGTAGAGGCAAGGTTTTGCATTTGAGGCCATCCTTTAATACAGAAAGAGTTAAAGGCCAACTTGAGCTACACAATAAGAGCCTGCCCTCCCCAAACCCAAACCTAACATCAAAAATCCACTAACTAGATGGGATCGAGGGCCTGTTTAATAATTTGTGTGAGGTCTTGTTCAATCCTCAGCACCAATTAAGAGGAAAAAAAGCTGCTGGGTGGTGGTGATGCACACCTTTAATCCCAGGACACTGGAGGCAAAGGCAGGTGGATCTCTAAGTTCCAGGCCAGCCTGGTCTACAAAGAGTGAGTTCCAGGACAGCCAGGGCTATACAGAGAGACACTGAATAAACAAAAACAAACAAAAAAATTATAGAACTATACTTTAAAAAAACCAAGAGGGGTTTGCTTATCTGAGTTCCTTATCATCATGGCAGGGAGCATGGCAGCAAGCAGGGTGAGGTGTAGAAGTAGCTAACAGGTACATCCTGATGGTAGGCTGAGCAAGAGATTGTGCCTGATATGGACTTTTCAAACCTCAAAGCCTGCCCCCAGTGACACACTCCAACAAGGCCCCACCTTCTAACCCTTCTCAAATGGTGCTAGTTCCTGATGACTAACCATCCAAACATATGAGCCTATGGGGGACCATTCTTATTCAAACCACCCTGGAGGTGTAGTTCAATGGGTGAGGCTCTGTGATGTCTTTGGTTTGGGCTGGGGGTTTAGGAATGGGACATCAGTTTCTAGAGCAAAGCAAAAGGGCCTAGCTGGCTTGGAACAGGTCCCTGCCCCTAGCTCCTCTGGGAAGCCCTAGGATGAGGCTTCTGCTCTCTGTTACCTGTTCTCTCCCATTCCTCCCTGGGTGGTTTCACAACTTAATATTGCAGTGTCAATGGTGCTTACTTAGTACCAGATTGCTATGTGAATAGATAGGCCCTGTGTTTTCTAATTCCATGAACACTCCCATGTACACCAGGGTGTGATATTGACTTTGACTCTCCCCTCCCCCTGATGAGGGGTGTGGCATTGGGCTGTGTCATCTGCTACTGAGGATGAGACCTTTAGAACTAGCTTATGATGTAGTTTTAAATGTTTTGTTTTGTTTTTTAAAATCTGACAAGCTTTCTTTAAATTAACTCTCAGAAGAGGCTTCTAGCAGCCAAGGAAGTTCTGCCCAGCACACTGTCGCAGGCCCTTCTCACTTCAGCATCAAACAAAAGGGAGAGGTCTGCAGTTTGGATTGAGGGCATCTTGGGTATGGTATTAGAGCCAACCATTTACACCTTTAGTTCCCAGGGAGAGGGCTAGTTTATGTCTGCTCTTTTGGCTTCTCAGCATCTGGCCCACAAGGACCGGCTACATTGAGCCAGGGACCTGGGTTCTGTCTTGCCTGATAGCAACCACACTCCCTAGTTCTCCTTTTTCTCCCTAAATGATCTCTTAAGGTTTTCTCTTTATTATACAGTCATTTGGGAAGTGAGCCACTTTGCTTACTTTGTATGAGATTCACATTCAAGGATGTCATGAGTCATGGCTGAGGTGTGTTGTAGGGCAATGATATGTTTAAGGCAGATAAGGCTTTACTTCCTTATTTTCAGACAAACTTTCCAGTATTCCAGGCTGGCCTCGAACTTATTACTATGTTGCTAAGGATGATGTTGAGCTTATGCTGAGTTTCCCTCCTCCTGAGTGCTGGGATTACTAGTGCTTGCCACCACATCCAGTTTATGGGATGGTGGGGATTGAGCCCAAAACTTCAAGCATGCTAGACAAGCACTCTATCAATGAGCTACAGCCTGAGGCCAACTTTGAGGAACTGGAGAGATGCTTTAGCGGTTAGGAACACTTACTGTTCAAACAGAAGGCCAGATTTGGATCTCAGCACCTGCATGGCAGCTCACAGTCATCTATAACTTCTGTTCTAGGCAATCTAATGCCCTTTCCTGACCCTCTCAGACACTGCACACATGTGGTGCACATACATACATGCAGAGAAAACACACACATGAATAAAAAGTTTACTTTTTAACATTTATTCATGTGGGGGGCATTAAGAGAACAGCTTGGACAAGCTAGTTCTCTCCCAGCAATTGGGTTCTAGAGATCAAGCTTAGGGTGTCAGTCTTGGTGGCAGGCTCCTTTATCCATTGAGCCCTCTTGCCTGCCCTTGTTGGGGTTTTGGTACTTTCTCTAGAATGACCAACCCACCTGAGCCTGCTTGACTCAGGCTGAGTTCCCGGCTCAGGTGCCATAGCCTATGTTTCCAAGAGGAAGGTCCAAGTCCTCTGGGCTTTGTGTGTTTCTCCTCCAACGCCTGAGGCCATAAGCTGATCATCTCTGAGCCTCAGTTCCCTCATGGTTAAAATGGAAGCAATGAGGGTCTGCTCATTAAGAGCACTGTCTGGTCTTCCAGAAGATCCATGTTCAATTCCCCACACCCACTTGGCAGCTCACAACTATCTGTAGCTCCAGTTCCAGGGTATCTCACACCCTCACACAGACATACCCTCAGGCAAAACACCAAGGTATATAAAATTAATTTTAAAAATACATTAAAGAAAAAAGAATGTTATTAAAAAAAATAAATAGAATCAGCGAGTATTGTAGCATGCACCAGTAATCTTAGTATTTGGGAAGTGAAGACTGGAGTCATGAGCCTGAGATTAGCCTGGCCATACAGTGGATGTCAGGCTAGACGGGGGCTACATATCCAGATGCTATGGCAGGAAGATCAGACATTCAAGGTCATCCTTGGCTACACAGAGAGTTCAAGAGACTAGGCTCCCTGTGACCCTGTCTCCAAAACACCAACCAGCCAACCAGCCAACCAACCAACCAAACAAGATGGCACTAAGGATACATCCCTTTGGGTTGCTTTGCAACGAGATGGTGGCTTGCTAAGCAGGCTTGGTCTGTTGTCAGGCACATGTTGAGCTCTCACTGTGGATCTTCACGTGTCTCTCTTGGCTTCAAGCTTTTTTTTGGGGGGGTGGGGTTGGATTTCAAGACAGGGTTTCTCTGTAGCTTTGGAGCCTCCCCTGGCACTCACTCTGTAGACCAGGCTGGCTTCGAACTCGAAGAGGTCTGGCTGCCTGTCTCCCGAGTACTGGGATTAAAGGAGTGGGCCACCACCGCAAGGTGGGCTTCAAGCTTTTGAGAGCTCCCAGCTTGCAGACAGCCATCCAGTTTAGTGATTTTGAGAGCTTTGTATTGGAAGAACATGTAGGGGACAGGGAAGAGCTGAGACTTGGAGAAGTGGGTGTCTGTCTACCTGATGACTTGTGGGCAGGAACCTTGAGTTGGTCTAGACCTGGTAGTCCCAGCTGGCTGTGGTTCTCTGTTGGTCTCTGCAGCTTTGAGGGTAAAGGATCTGGCTGGCCTCAGCCCCTTAAGCTGGGTGTAATGGGTTAGCTCTATATTGCCATCCTCCATGTGGGAATGCAGGTCTCAAAAGCAAGAGGGGAGCCATTGCTGGGCCATTGGAGCCTTTGGATGTGATGTGTTATGTGTCCATTTCTAGATGCTGACAAGAGGATCAAGGTGGAGAAGCCAGTGGTGGAGATGGATGGCGATGAGATGACCCGTATCATCTGGCAATTCATCAAGGAGAAGGTAGCGCCCCTCCCTCGGCAGGTGGCAGGCAGATGGATGGTCCAACAAGGTAGCAGGTCCCATGAGTCCTATGGTTCCCCCACTTCCTGCCCACCCTCCTCATGTTGACAACATTAGTAGTTGTTAGTTCTTTTTTGTTTGTTTTGTTTTTTGGGACAGAGTTTTCTGTATTGCTTTGGAGGCTGTCCTGGAACTTACTTTGTAGACCAGGCTGGCCTCAAACTCACAGAGATCCTCCTGCCTCTGCCTCCCAAGTGCTGGGATTGAAGACATGTGTCACCAACACCTGGTTTAGTTGTTAGATCTTTGTTGTCAGCCAGTGCTTATCCTGAGCAGTCTGGGTCTCTCACTGGTGTTGAAATGTGCAAACTTTTAAAATCTTGTTTCCTTTTCTTTTGAAAGCTTTTTATTACATTTGTTTGTTTCTTTTCATGCATGAGTGTGCCATGGAGCACATATGGAGGTCATGGGACTTGTCAGTTCTCTTCTACCATGTGAGCCCCAGGGATTAGACTCAAATTATCACGCTTAGCAGTCAGTGCCTTTTCCCACTGAGTCACCTGTCAATCCCAAATCTGTTCTTTTTTTCCTAAAAAAAAAAAAAATTGGTGGCTGGCAGAATGGTCCAGTGGGTAAAGGTGCTTGCTGACAAGCCTGATGATGTTTGGGTTTTTGTTTGATTGGTTGTTTTCTTTCTGTTTTCAATACAGGGTTTCACTTCATAACAGCCCTGGCTGTCCTAGAACTAGCTCTGTAGATCAGGCTAGCCTTGAACTCAAAGATGTCCTCCTGCCTCTGCACATACACACAATAAATAATAAATAAATATAATGAGAATTAATTTGTGTGTGCATAGAGGTCAGAAGAATGAAGGTGTCCTGTCACTTCCCACTAGTTCACTGAGGCAGTCTCTCCCCAAACACAGAGCTTGTTTTCTCTGGTAGGCTGGAAGCCAGCAAGCCCCATCGGTCCTTTTGTCTCTCCCCTAGATCTGGGGTTGCAAGCGTGAATAAGATGCCCTGTGGGTGCTGGGATCCAAATTGCTCCTTATGATTTTGCTGCAAGTGCTCCTAACCACTGGGCCATTGCTCCAGTTTTTTTTTTTTTTTTTTTTTTTTTTTTTTTTTCTTTTAATTAGAAAAGTTATTTTACGTTGGTTTATTTTGTGTGTATAGATGTTCTGTCTCTGTCTCTGTGTGTGTGCCTAGTGCCCTCATAGGTCAGAAGAAGGTGTGTGTCGGATTCCCTAGAGCTGGAGTTATGGGTGGTTGTGAGTTGTCATGTGGGTGTTGGGAATTGAACCCAGGTCTTTTACAGGAGAAACAAGTGCTCTTAACCCCTGAGTCATCTCTCCAGCTCCCATACCTCCTTTAATTTAATGTGTTTTCTTTTTAAAGCCAAAATCTTACTCTCTATCCCAAGCTGGCCTCAAACTCCCAGTGACCCTGTGCTTCCGACTTTTGGATTCAGGAATTACAGTCATGTGCTTCCATTCCTGGCTGTGAGGTGGGGTCTCATTCTCCCTTTTTTTTAATAGTTTAGCATGGCTGGAGAGGTGGCACAGCCACTGAGAACACTTGTTGTTCTTGCAGAAGACTCAGGTTCAATTCCCAGCACCAGCAAGGCAGCTTATAACTGTCCAGACTTCAGGTCCAGGGCATCCAATACCCTCATCTGATCTTCATAGACACCAGGCATGCAGGTACATAGACGTATGTACAAGCAAAACAGACATACATGCACTGGGCATGGTGGCGCACACCTTTAATCCCATCACTGAGGAGGCAGAGGCAGGCAGATGTCTGTGAGTTCGAGGTTAGCCTGGTGTACATAGTGAGACCCTGTCTCAGGGAAAAAAAAAAGACTTATTACTTATTTTTACTAATGTGTAAATATGTATGCCTATGTGTGATTATGCACACATGAGTGCCAGTTCCCACAGTGGCCAGAGATTTCCCTGGAACTGGAGTTACAGGTGGTTCTCTGATGTGGGTTCTGGAAATTGAACTTAGGCCCTCTGCAGGAGCAGGAAACACTCTTAACAGCTCTAGCTAGAGACTGGGTCTTAACTATGTAGCCCAGGGTGGCCCCAAACTTAAGATCTTCTTGCCTCAGACTCCTAAGTGCTGGGATGACAGGTGTGTGTCACCATGTCTGGCTGAGGCTGCCCCTTCCATGTTAAGATCACAGATCTCTTGGAGAAGAAGGGGGGCCCCACTGTATAGACTTGGAATTCACCTGACTTGATGGGTTGCTAGAGTAACAGGAGATGCTCACACCTGGCTCCCCTCTGTGGAGCCCAGTCTGGCTTACCTCTCAGAGTCTCAGCCTCCTGCCATCTCTGGTCCTGCAGAGAAATGACTGACCCTAGCTTCCTCCTGTGCCCTAACTACTAGACTTCCCTCATCCTTTGCCTGACCAGGTGACTTCTCATGCCTTGGCATCCTGCCAAAGTCACTCTTCTGGCTTGACACTTTGTTTGGGCTCTCTTCCCTAGCTCATCCTGCCTCACGTGGATGTCCAGCTCAAGTATTTTGACCTCGGGCTTCCAAATCGTGACCAGACCAATGACCAGGTCACTATTGACTCTGCTCTGGCCACCCAGAAGTACAGTGTAGCTGTCAAGTGTGCTACAATCACCCCTGATGAGGCTCGTGTGGAAGGTAGGAGGTGCAGTGGGGTCATAGTGGCTGGCAGGGTCACAGGCTATCACATGTACGTGGAAAGAGTTGCCTGTGTCACTCCTTAGGGGACCAGGAGGTGGGAGCTTCCCTGAGGCTGATTTCACTTGTGGTCTGGGTTGGGGTAATGGGGACTGAGAAATCTGTAGATGGAGGTTTCTGTCCCACCTGGCCTGGTCAACATAACTGCTTTGACCCAAATAAACACACGGACACTATATTAATTATAAAACTGTTGGTTGATGGCTAGGGTTTCTTATTGGCTAGCTCTATCTTAATTATTAACCCATGTCTATTAATCCATGCATTGCCACAAGTCTTTGGCTTACCCATAGTCTGACAGAGATCAGTCCAGGCTTGCTGAATGGGTCTGCTGGGCAGCAGGGCTTTTGAGGTCACTATAGGGGAGGTGTGATTGGGGACCAGCCCCATGTTCATAGTCAGGCTAGGCATCATGCCTCCTAGAGGCCGGGAAGGCAGCATCTCTGTCGTGGTGCATGGCTTACACCAGTGAGAGGCATCAGCAGTTATAGGGAGGAAGGAGACAGTCTTGGCACTCTCACAGTGGTGAATGCCATTACCATCCTGGCCTTCTGACCTCTGGCCCATTTGGCAGGCTGGTTCAGAGGCTGTGTGCAAGCCTGCAGCGAAAGGCTAAACTTGCTTTCCCTGGACCTCTGAGCATTTTTGCTCTCCTAAAGCCCCTCTCTTTTGCCATGTGACTGTCTGATCACCCCCACTGTACCCAGCACGGCCTTTGTCTCTTCTTTTCTCCACTGCCTCTCTTCTGGCTGCTGCTGAGATCCACAGCTTGCCTGGCCTGTTATTTTTCTAACTCTAATAAAACTGTCCTTGAGTTTCAAAAACAACAACACAAGAATAGTTTAGGGCTTTTCCTCCCTAATTTCTGCAGTATGAGGAAACTAGGAACAAGCATTCAGATGGTCATCAGAGCTGGGGCTGCAGCTCAGTGGTGAAGTACTTGTCCAGCATGCATAAGGCCCTGGGTTCAATGCCCCCTCCCCCCCACACTGCAAAACAACAATAAAGGGAAACTCAAGAAACATCAGCCGCTTGCAGACCACCTGCCTATGTCACCTTGGAGTGTGTTTTAGTCCTGAACTTTTCCTTGATGTCCCTGACTCCTGGAATTAAGAAAAAAAGAGTGAAAATACTTCGAGTAAGACTCAGGCCTTGTGCATGCCGGACAAGCACTATGTCACTGAACTACATCTCCAGCCTAGTGCTGGGGTTTACAGCTAACTCTTATCTGGACAAGATCTTAGTATCTTGGGCATGACTAGGTGAACAGAATCTGGCCTTTCTCTTCACTGAGTAACCTCTGTGTAGACCTGGTAAAATGGTAGCCAGGTACTTTACAGGCAACTTATTTAATGCCAACCCAGCACGTTTGGTACTTTATCAGTGATTTTATTTCACAGCTCAGGCAAAGGCACGTTGCAAGCCTCACAGTCCAAATTGTTAGATTCCCGAGGCCATGTGTTTATACTCTAGACCACTGGTTCTCAACCTTCCCAATGCTGCCACCCTTTAATAGCTCCTCATGTTGTGATGACCCCCAACCATAACATTACTTTGTTGCTACAGTTATGAATCATAATGTAAATATCTGTGTTATCTATGGTCTTAGGTGACCCCAAAGGGGTCGAGGACCACAGGTTAAGAACTACTGCTCTAGACTCTTGTACCTTCTCTAGGATGACATCCGGGCCCCCTGTCTGGCTACGTTTTGGCTTGGGGTACATTCTGGTGGCTCTATCATGTCCCTGTCTTCCAGAATTCAAGCTGAAGAAAATGTGGAAGAGCCCTAATGGAACCATCCGGAACATCCTTGGGGGAACCGTCTTCAGAGAGCCTATCATCTGCAAAAACATCCCCCGCCTTGTCCCTGGCTGGACCAAGCCCATTACCATTGGCAGGCACGCCCACGGCGACCAGGTAGGCCGGACTTGCAGACAAAGTCTGTTGACTCAGGCTCCCCATGAGAAGCCCTGGCTCAAACTACCTGTTCTCTGCAGTACAAGGCCACAGACTTTGTGGTAGATCGAGCTGGCACGTTCAAGATGGTCTTCACCCCAAAGGACGGCAGCAGTGCCAAAGAGTGGGAGGTGTACAACTTCCCTGCCGGCGGCGTGGGCATGGGGATGTACAACACTGACGAGGTAAGGCTGGCCAGGGCCTCCTCCCCAGCTCATCTCCATCTCTGCCTATTTTGTAGCTTTCTTTACATCTGTTAGCCTCATTCTCATGCCAGGAAAAAATGGTGTGGACCACTTGGTCAGAAAACAGCGCCTCCTTATGCTGGCCCTGATTGGGTCACGTAGTCACCTTTGAGCCAATCACTGATGGCCAGGAGGAAGGGCTCTAATTGGGTAAATTGGAGACATGTGGTCAAACCGAGCCTTAGGCAGCTTAACCAGGTTGCCCAAGCCTGCACCGCGGAATGATCTAGGAATTATGAGGTAGAGAGAGCTATCCAAAGTGAAGGTGATGGTAGGGGTCTGTGCTCCCCAAAGTCTGGAGGGAGAAGATGGGCCAACCAAAACAACAGCCGTGTGGTGGCACACGCCTTTAATTCCAGCATTTAGGCGGCAGAGGTAGGCGGGTCTCAGTGAGTTCGAGGCCAGCCTGGTCTACAGAGCGAGTTCCAGGACAGCTAGGACTGTTATACAGAGAAAACAAACATACAAAAAACATGGTGGCAAAGGTTGAGGAGTCTTGTGGAGGCAATGCTGACCCTGGCCCTGGGACCATGGGCAAGACTGGCGGTCCTCAGACCGTGTGCCATGCTATATGCCCGCTCTCCCCACAGTCCATTTCGGGCTTTGCGCACAGCTGCTTCCAGTACTCTATCCAGAAGAAGTGGCCGCTCTACTTGAGCACGAAGAACACCATTCTGAAGGCCTATGACGGGCGTTTCAAGGACATCTTCCAGGAGATCTTTGACAAGTAACGGCCTCTGACGCTTTCTGAGGGCACGGCCGCCTCCCAGCTCCCCTGCGCCATCCCTACTTCACCTGGGGAGGTTGTGCTTCCAGCGTGCTTGGTTCAGCTCTGAGGTTCAGGGAGGGGTCCTTAAGCTGCTGGCTCCTGTCCTCTCCCCAAATAAGCCCTTTTGCCTCCAGGCACTATAAGACTGACTTTGACAAGAATAAGATCTGGTACGAGCATCGGCTCATTGACGACATGGTGGCCCAGGTGCTCAAGTCTTCAGGTGGCTTTGTGTGGGCCTGCAAGAACTATGACGGAGATGTACAGTCTGACATCCTGGCTCAAGGTACGCTCCCAGAGGGGGGAACGGTTGATATTCCATGACTGGGTGACTTTTTTTTTTTAATTGAAAGATTTCAGTGTGATTGTAAGCACAGGTTGAGTAAAGGAATGACTCGGGGAGAAATTAAGGCTGGGCATAGGAGCACACACCTTTAGTCCCAGCACTTGGGAGGCTGAGGCAGCAGATCTATGTTAGTTTGAGGCCAGCCTGGTCTACAGAGAGTGAGAAAACCTATCTTGAAAAACAAAACAAGAGCATGAGTGTGAAGAACTCAAAGCGTCACCTGGAGGTGTGTGAAGTTTTTGGAGTCAGGTATCTTCTATTGTGCTCCACCTTATTATTATTTTTAATATATATTTAAAGATTTATTTATTTATGTACTTTATGTATATGAGTGCTCTGTCTTCATGCACACCAGAATCCGATCCCATTACAGATTGGGAGCCACCATGTGGTTACTGGGAATTGAACTCAGGACCTCTGGAAGCGCAGCAAAGTGCCCTTAACCACTGAGCCATCTCTTCATCCCTAATATATTTTTTGAAAATTAGATTTATAAGGTCAGGCGTGGTGGCATTATAAGCAGAGGCAGTTGTATCTCTGTGAGTTCGAGTACATAGTGAGTTTTAGGATAGCCAGAGCTACATAACACCCTAAAAGCTTTTATGCATGCACTGTTTTTCTGTCTGTCTGGCAGTACTGGGGACTGTACATAGGGCCTCATGAAAACCAGACAAGTGAACTAGTGAACTGCAGCCACAGGCCTTTGCTTGTCTGTGCTTGTGCATATACCGAGGCAAAGCATGTGGTGGCCAGAGGACATCTTGCAGGAGTGGGCTCTGTCCTTCCACCATATGGGGCCCAGAGATTGACCTCAGGTTGACCTTGTCAGGCTTGGTGGCAAGAACCTTTACCGCTGAGGTGTCTTGTCTTCCTTTTACCTTATTTTTTGAGACGGTTTTTCTTTCTTCAGTGAACCTGACTAGCTGGCTGGTGAGTCCAGGGGATCTGCCTACCTCTGTGCCTGTGACTGGTGTGTTACAAGGCTGTGGAGCACAGGATGCTACAGGCACTCACACTTGTAATCTCAGCACTTAGGAGGTGGAAGTGGGTGGACTGCTGTGAACTTGAGGCCAGCTTGGGTTTCACGGAGAGTTCTAGGCTAAACAAATACAAAAATAAAACAGAACAGAACAGGGGCTCTTGAGATGGCTCAGTGGGGAAAGGCACTTGCCACCAAGCTTGACAACTTAAGTTTGATCCCTGAAATCGACATGGTGGAGAAAACTGACTCTTACAAGCTGACCTCTGACCTTTACACTGGCAGGTGTGTATTTCCGCTACACAAAATAAAAACAAATAAATGTAGAGACAAAAAGTCTGAGCTGAATCTTCTCCTTATGTAGTTTGCCCATGTTTCCTTCCTTGAGCCTTCTCATTCCTTGTGGGTCTGGGGAGTTTTTGATTCCCTTGACAACAGAGTCATTCCAGCTAAAATCTGGATTTGGGGATATTTGGAAATAAATCACAAAGTTGGAAAGTAGCCTAATAGCAGCAGAAACCGTGATGGTTGCGAAACAGCTGATGGAAGCTCATTCCTGCGGGAAGTGGCCTTCTAGGAGGCTGCAGGAATGACAGCCCCAGGCTGTGGGGTCTGGGAAGGGAGGCACAGACCTGTTAGCACCTGTTAGCTACCTGTGAGGTGGTATTGTCCTCAGTTGCAGGGGGCTGGGGTGGGGTCAGAAGATGAGAAGGCCTTCAGTCTAAGATGAAGGGTTCTGAGTTGAAGCATGGCCTTGAGGGGAGATCTGCCTACTCCCAGGCTTTGGCTCCCTTGGCCTGATGACGTCTGTGCTGGTCTGCCCTGATGGGAAGACAATTGAGGCTGAGGCCGCCCATGGGACAGTCACCCGCCATTACCGAGAGCACCAGAAGGTAAGTGTGTGCACCTCAAGGTTCCTTGCCTACTGGCCCTGATGCTGGGAGGATGAGCCTGATGTGTCTGTCAGTCTAAAGGTGGATAGCTCAGCTGTTGATCCCGTGGCCTGTCCCCAGGGCCGACCCACCAGTACCAACCCCATCGCCAGCATCTTTGCCTGGACACGCGGGCTAGAGCATCGAGGGAAGCTGGATGGGAACCAGGACCTCATCCGGTGAGCACTCAGGGAGGACTTTAGCTGGCCCAGCCTATGGTTTTGCCCACGTTTTGCTCACATGCCTAGGGCCTCACTGCTGCCCCCCCTACAGGTTCTCGCAGACTCTGGAGAAGGTGTGCGTGGAGACTGTGGAGAGTGGAGCTATGACCAAGGACCTGGCTGGCTGCATCCATGGCCTCAGCAAGTGTGTGCTTTGGGATACAGGGCCTGAGACCTCGGAGCAGGCGGGAGGAAGCCAGGGGACCCCACTTAGAGTCCGTCAGTATAGCTGCCTGGAGTCTGGTGCAGGCTCAGGCCAAGCCTCCCTAGCCCAGGCCTGAGTTGGTCCCCATCGTCCAGTGACTTGTCACTCTTAAGTTCCTGCTGAATTTATTGTGGCTTTTTGGCAGCGGGTTACTGGCAAACTTGGACCTGTGCCTGGTGGCCTGAAATGGCCATTCTGATGCCTGGGGTCTGATGTACTCGGGAAGGGCTTGGTGAATGGCCTTCAGGAGGTCTGAGTCACCCCCCCCCCCCAATGTTCTCTTAACAGTGTGAAGCTGAATGAACACTTCTTGAACACCACAGACTTCCTGGACACCATTAAGAGCAACCTGGACCGAGCTCTGGGCAAGCAGTAGGGGCGGATACTGCCCAACTGCTGTGGGCACTCCATACATGGTAGAGGGTGAGCTTCACAGCCCCTCTCTGGTGGCCTTTCTAGGGGTTAGTTTTTCTATGATGGAGATGTTTTTAAATATGTGAGTTTTTCCCTCACGGTGGATGCTAGGCAGGAGCAGTGTGCGTTACCTCAGCCAGTCAGTGTGTTTTGCATACTGTAATTTATACTGCTCTGATTCACATGGTGCCATATTTAGCTACTAAAAAGCTCTTTGCAAAACTGTCTTGCTGTGTTTGTCCCTGAGTGGGAGGAAGCAGCTGGCAGGATGCCCCAGGGACAGGATTGGGGTGCCTCTGGCTGTTAATAGGTCAGCTAGGAGGCCCTTTCAGGAGGGAACAAGGCAACCTGTGGGCCTCATGCATTCTACAGAAGCTGCCTGAGATACTAGTCTTTGGGGCAAGGTCCTGGGTTTTTCACAAAATTGTCTGCAGTTGTCCATGAGCAGAAGGTGGCTGGGGCCTAGGCTCACAGGAGAATTTCCAAGCAGGATCTCTTTTACCTAGCTCTCTCCATCTAGGGAGTATCACTCTGTGATATTCTAGATACTTATTAACATATGCACCTTTTGTGGCACTCAGACTAACTCAGAGCTTTGTGTAGCCTAAGCAAGTATTCCGTCACTACGTTCCCAGCCCCAGCCTTTATTTATTGGAGACAAGTTCTCACTGTGTTGCTCTGACTAGTTTGGAACTCACTATATGTATCAGGCTGGTCTTGAACTCACAAAGGTCTGTCCTGCTTCCCGATCTGGGATCAAAGGTCTCTACTATCATTCTCAAATTTACAGTATGCTCTTAAAAACACCCTTTACTGGGCTTCCCCCAGGCTTTCTGAGCTCCCTCTTCTCAGCTTCACCACTTTTACAGGTGTGGAAAAGCTACTCCAAAGCCATATGTGCCCTCATCAGCAAGCTCTGTCCTCATACAATGATTTCTTTCTGCTTGTTGGTTTATAATATGGTCAGCTCTCTGTGTCCAGGTTTTTCTTTTTCTTTTTAAAGCGGATCTGGACATTGAGTTTAGCTAGACAAATGTTTTATTATGAAGATCACTGAGCTGTAGTCTCAGGCTCCCTTCACTTGCCCCCCCCTCCCCTTTAAAACTGGTCTTACATATTCTAGCCTCAAATTTCTTATGTATTTGAGGATGACTTTGAACTTCTTACTCTTCTGTCTCTACCTCTTGGATGCTGGGATTATAGGCATGGGCCACAATACTGTTTATGCAGTGCTGGGGGATCAAACCAGGGTCTCCTGCACAGTAGGCAAGAATTCTAACAACCAAGCCTCATCCTCAGGCTGGGCACAGGTTTTAAATTTAAAACCCTTTTGTTTTATTATTTTATGTGTATGGGTATGTTGTCCTGCATGTATGTCTGTGTATCATGTGTATGCAGGGCCCAGTGAGGTCAGGACACTAGATACCTTGGAACTGCAGTTAGAGACAGGTGTGAGCTGCCATGTGGGTGGTGGGAATTGAACTTGGGTCCTCTAGAAGAGTAGCAAGACTCCTGATTACTCATCTCTTCAGCCCTCAGACACAGGTTTAATATTTGCAGATGCAACTAACCTCAGAGTGGGAAATATCTGGGGGCAAATAAAGCAAAACAAAACAGGTATAACAGTGTATGCCTGAAACCCGCACTTGGGAGAATGAGGTCGAAAGATCGCCTGTGTCAAAAATCAAAAGCAAAACAAAAAATATGAAAAGGCCAGGTGTGCACACAGACTTGTAATCTTGGTTTGTGAAACAGAGGCAGAAAGAGAGCTGAGATACAGGCCAGCCAGGGGTAGATAGTGAGACCCCATCTCAAAAAGCCTCAATACTATAAAAACAACCCTGAAAAAAGAAGCTGGGTGTGGGTACACACCTGTAATCCCAGCCCTCCACAGGTAGACTTGGGAAACAAAAACCTCATCTCAAAACAAACCCCCAAAACCCATCCTTGGTGCTTGGAGCATGTCCCCCTAAGTATATAGTAGGTCAGGTGGCTGGGGCAGTCTTGCAATCCCAGAGAAGGAAACTGTCTGGCATGTGGCTGGGAACCTTGCTGGGGAGAAGGGCCACCGAGAGCAGCAGGAAGGAGCATGCACAGCCACCTCACTAAAGAATATTCATTTATTTATAATTATTGCTAAGTAAACGTCTCTTTTAAACAGGAACATAAAAACACAGTAGGGCTCTGCACAAGTGGGATCGCTAGACAGTTGGTTTGTATACATGTCAAAATAAGTTAGAGTGGAATTCGGCCAGGGTTTGAGTCACCCTTTTCAGAAGGCTGGGAGGGGTGAGGCCGGAGCCTTGCCAGGACCGCCCCCAGCTCCAACTGTGCACTGTGTTGTACCTTCCTCTCTGCATTGCCCAGGCACGAGGCGTACCTAGGGCAGGGGCTTTTTGAGCATGGGACCCCTCAGAGGGTTGTGCCAATGGCGGGGTGAGCAATGAGAGACCCCACCCAGGCCAGACTTCTCCCTTCTGTTTCCAAGACCAAGGCCACTGCTTTGGCAGGAGAGGAGGAGGTACGGGGTGCTTTTTGGTACCAGGGGAGAAAGTCATTGCGGGAAGAGGTAGTTTGCAGGGGTGATGCCTTCTGCTCAGCAGGAGAAATGTCTTGTACAGTGACACCTAATCACTGCCACCTGAGGGTCTTCACAACCGGCACCTGGGAGGCTGGGAGCCGTGGGAAACCACACCTGGGCCATTGTGTCCACCTGACTCCCAGTCTTGAAGTCACCCTGAGGCCTGGCTTGGAGTCTCACTTAGGGACACAGGCTTGGAGGCAGCTGCACTTGAGATCAGCACCTTCCACCCCAGCTGGTTCCCCCTCTTGGTTTTTCAGCCAAAGCTGGTGGCTTCATCTGTGCCTTTTCAGGGTTGGCCCTGTCTGCTCCCCTGGGGGCCTGGGGATTTATGGGCAGGGCTTTGGGTGCTCTGGAGGTTTCTGAATGTGCCAGTCACTACCCGAAGGGAAGGTGAGGAGGGGGCAGCTGGCCACACGGAGTCAGAAGCCTTGGTCACCTGGATAGGACAGAGCCACTGGCCCTGAGGACCAGGTAGGTCCTCTGCTGCCTTCTCTTCTGCCTGATCCTTCTGAGGCTCCCACCTCCCGGGCTAGGTCCTACCATGCCTGACTGCTTTAGGGAAGGGAAGCCGGGAGTGCACAGCATACAACAAAGCTTCCATTTGCCTGCCCATCACTCCATCAAAGATAACAGACAAGAGTTGGTGAATTACTTTCAAAATGCCCTCACTTGCTCAAAACAGGCCCTGCCCCTCATGGCCTTTAATTTCCTTTTTAAGTATGTTGCTCTTCCCTGGGAGCCTGCTGAGCCTCAGCTCACCCACTCCTCACAACAACCTGCTTGCTCATAAAACAAACAATCAAAACCATTCTAGTCCTCCTCTTCCCAAGCCTCTCTTGGTCCCAGGGGTGTCACCCTGCCCTTCCCCGTGACTCAAGGGACCCCCACCTGTCCTTGTTAATGCCAGACACAAGGCATGTCCTGATTTTGTTTGGTGAGGAGACTATGGTTGGTACTTTAGCTTGGGGCAGAACTGGATGCAATTTGTTGAAATGCACATTAGGGACATTCTTTCAAATAGGGCTGAGGGCAAGGGTGCTCTGCCGGCTGGCTGGGAGGGGCTCTGGAGGCTGGGCTCCCCTGCTCTCCTACAGGCAGGGCCAGGGCTAGGGCCACATGCATGTCTGGATGGAGCAAGGGGAGGCCCAGGAGGTAGAAGGCAGAGGTGCCCTGCCTGGCTGTTGAGTGACGGGAAGGGAAGAGGTTCTTGGGTCTGAGCAGGGTTGGGGTGGGCAGTGCAGGAGCGCAAATGTCCTTAAAGGCCAGAGTCGGTGGAGAAGAGAGACAAGACCTGGCTCAAGCATTCTCTTCCTCAAGAGCCCCTATGGGCCTGAGGCAGCTTGGAGCAGACTTCTGAGTTTGTGTGCCCGTGCCTATAAGAGACTTCACTAGCATTTCCCCTACCCACCCACAGCAGCAGGCCAAGGAGGACCGGATCTGGGCCTCCCGGTTACCTTTCCCTCACTGGGATGCCTAGGCCTGCGCCCAGCTCCCTGCAAGGACAGTAGTACAGTCTCCATTTGGTCTAAAGGTCCCTAGTGGTGCAAATGACTGGGGGTGAGGAGGGGGGCTGGGCAGTGGGCAGTAGCTTGGTTCTGGGCTGCAGAGGTGCAGCCCTCAGTACGTGGGTCACACCCTGTGCCCTCCTCACCCACTCAGTTGGCCTGCTATAGCACGTTGTAGTAGGCCATCTCTTTCATGGCCTGCTCAGTGAGGGTGCTGGCCTCCGTGCTGCTGTCCACACTGGTGTAGGTGTAGGCGTTTTCCTCGAAGTCCTCCATCTCCTGTTGGCTGTCAAGTTCAGAGGGGTCGGGGCCTGCCAGCTCCATCATGGGGTCTACAAGAGAGGGGCACAGTTAGGCCTAAACATTGGCCATCCCCAGTGTCCTTTGGGAAGTGGGGGCCTTAACGTCCAGCCATTGTACAAGGACCTTGGGCAGAACAGATCTGTGGCCTGGCCTTGACTTCTGGGTTATGCTCCCTTGGCCCTGCTAGGCCACTAAGCCCTCCTGGGTCATCATCCTTTGCAGTGTCTGTCATTGGTCCTCTTTCCTACGCGCTCCCTGGACTTCATCTCATTGACAGCCTGCAACCTCCCTCCCCAAGGTCAACCATCAAGCACTCCTGTGACCTTGCAAAGCTCTGCCTCAGCACCAGAGGGTGCGGTTTCTCCACATTTAGCACACCAAACCAGCCCCGCCCTGGGCTGGGTTCTTAGCCAAGGTAGGTCGTCAAAGCACCCCTGGAAATGAGAATGTCTGCCAGGTGCCTTGTAATTCTGTCATGTTGAAATCTTAGGGGGAAACAGACCCAGCCCAGGGCTCACCTTGATAGGTTCAAGGTGGGCTTCCTAACCTTGACATTACTCACATCTGAGGCCAGGATCCTTTGCAGTGGGCGGGGCCACCTGTCCTCTGCAGAATATCATAGTATCCTGAACTCTGTCCATTGGAGGCCAGTAGACACCCAAATGTCACCTGAGGGGTCAAACTCACCCTCTCCCCTTTGCCTAAGAGTGGCTCAGGAACTGGCATGTAACTTAGATCTGACCACGCGGTTAGGAGGAAATGCCTACAGGCAGGTTATTAATTTTAATGAAGGGAAACAGCTTCCATCCTTTTCCTGAAAGTGTTCTGGTGGCTACTGATGGTCATCCTGAATGCAGGAGAAAATGCTAATGCTGTGTGTGAAGTCCCATAGAGGTAGCTCAACCCTAATATCATTTTTGAGGGGTTGAACCACCCACCTTTAAAGGTAGCCTAGACTCAGATCTCTGGGTTCGAGGCCAGCCTGGTCTAGAGCTAGTTCCAGGACAGCCATGGTTACACAGACATGGCCTAGACTTTTAATCCTCCTCAATGCTTTTTTTTTTTTTTTTTTTTTTTTTTTTTTTTTTGACATAGGGTTTCTTTATATAGCCCTGGTATCCTGCCCTGGAACTTACTATGTAGAGCAGGCTGGCCTTAAATTCAAAGAGCTGCCTCTCTCTGCCCTCCCTAGTACTGGGGGTTGAAGATGTTCTCTACCATGCACCATAGACAGCTCTCACTCTCTCTCTCTCTCTCTCTCTCTCTCTCTCTCTCTCTCTCTCTCTCTCAAATCTCATGTATCCCAGACCATCCTCAAACTCATTGTATAGTCAAAGATGACCTTGAACTTTTTGGTCCTTCTGTCTCTGCCTCCAGAATGACGAGATCATAGTGGCAAGGCACCACACTTGTGTAGGGGTTGCTGAGACTTTGACCCAGGGCCTGTGCAAGCTCTGTATCTGCTGAGCTCCTTCCAACTCCTTCAGATTGCTGAGTTGCTGCATCTAACCCACAGAACCCTCCTGACCTTGTAAAACAAGGTTAAGTATCCCAGCAAACCAAGTCTAGGTTGTTTTCTTCTCAAAGCCAACTGCCACACTGTCATATTATGCCACTGGCTATTAAAACAAGCCAAACTTCCATGTCCCCACTTTATCTCCATTGTGTCCAACTGGCCTTGAACTCAGTACATAGTTGAGGATTGTGTCCCTATGCTGGAACTGTAGATATACACCAGCCTCTGTGCATGCACATTGCCTCACCTCCCTAAGTTACAACTGTCTGTGAGGTGGCCTCACTTAGAAAGAAGCTGCCTATTCCAGTTTCATAGACGAGGTATATGGGTATCCAGTCGACCTAGAACCAATGACTGACTACTTCACTCATCTGGTATAGCCAGGGAGGGACCAATGCTAAGCATTCTTGGAAGAGGAAAGAAATTGTTCTTCTCACTCCAGAGAACCAGATATTTATGGCTCCGATCATTTGCAAAAGGACAAGGTTGGCTTGTTTTTTGCTGTGGGTAGCTACAAGGGAAGTCCATTGTAGTGAACTCCCCAAGTGCTTTAGAACCCAGACCAGCACCTCTGGGGTCCAGACTCAGCTATCAGCATTAAAAAACATCTTTCAAATGTGTGGCTCCAGAGGCCACAGGTTTGAATGCCATCACCCACCTGGTGGCTCACCACTGTACTGCCTTCTGGCTTCCACTAGGCAAGCACATGGTTCACAGACATACACAGAGTCAAAACACCCACACTTGTAAAATTAGCCATTAAAGAAAATCCTTAAGTGGCTCCCATGAGCAGGCAATTGGAGACCTCCTCCTGTAAGGTCTAGTTCAAAGGGAGCCTATGGGGAATGTAATCCCTCACCCCATCCCAGAAAGTGCTGGAAGTCCAGCAGTTTGAGCCAGTTCTGGGTTGAGTCTGAGGGTATACATTAGGCCCTGATAATGCAGATTCCCACTCAGTGGGCCCTGGACAGAGCTAGCTGGCATGTCCACTCTTGTCTATCAAGAGGCTACAGAGAGCATCTGGATGCAGGCTATAGGGTTCCTTCTATTGAAAAACTACCTTCAACAAGCCACAGTATCACCTGCTTTGCCAGAAACTCCAGGCCATCTACTGTCCAGATGTTCCAAAACCAGTCACTAGCCATTTGTAGTGAACTACTGAGCATGGCAAGTCAACTCAAGGCATGGAGAGGGCTCATTGGAAGGACCCTGGGATGCCTCCTGCCTGTACAATCTGATGCTAATGGCCCACGATGGAGCTGAAGACCAAAGCTCTGCTATGACTGGATAGGAGTGGGGAAGTCGCATAACAGCTTGAGACTTCTACCAGTTACCATGATATAGGATTGTCTGGAAATTTCTCTTCCTTATAGTTTTCAGGGTTTTTTTTTTTTTTTTTTTGAGAGACAGGCTCTCATTATGTTGCCTGGCTTGACCTCAAACTTGTGGTAATCCTCCTGCCTCAGTATCCCAAGTGCTCACATTACAGGTAGGTGTGACTACAACTACCCTCTCTAGAAATTCTTCCTTTATTACTCGATGCAGGATCTTACTGAATAGCCCCACTAGCCCTGGGGCCTCTTCCTGCCTCAGTTTGCTGAGTGCTGCTAGAATTGCAAGTCTGCACCACACTCTGCACCAGCTCTCTTAGATCTTGGGTTCTGTTTAAATTCTTTTTCCTACATGTACCTTTTTTTTTTTTTTTGGGTTTGTCGAGACAGGGTGTCTCTGAATTGCTTTGGAGCCTGTCCTCAAATTCACTCTGTAGACCAGGCAGGCCTTGAATTCACAGAGATCTGCCTGCCTCTGCCTCCCGAGTGCTGAAACTAAAGGCTTGCGCCACCAACACCCAGCTTACTTATTTGTTTCTTTCTCATAAAGCTTAATGGCAGGACCACTTGTCCCCTCTCCTGAATATGTGGCGTTCATTCTTCCTATCAGGCACCATGGCTGGTTGATTGTCCTAACGTCTCTGAATTTCCGTGTGCACTTGGAGGTGTAACCTCGTATTTCCCCCTTTGTCCCTTCCCCATCCATTTATTTGAAATTATCATGGTGTCTTCTGATAATGATGGGAAAGATGGCACAGCCATTGCTCTTGTGTGTTGTGATTGATTGAGTTGCCTAATCTCTCTGCCCTGAAGTTTCTGCTATAGGAACAAGTGATACCAGAGCCAGCCTCCCTGTGAGGGTCACATGAGTTACACAGCACTCAACATGTGTAAGTTATTGTTTTTATTATTGTTTTAGTGAGCCCATGTAAGTCCTTGGAAGACGACATAAATACCCCCATTATTGCCATGATGGCTCCCCAGGTTCTCCCTCTCTCCAGACCTGAGCCCATCTCAGTGAAGTCTCAGCCTTGGCCAGCCTCTCTATGCCCCTAATTGGACAGGAGACTCCTGAGTGGGCCAAGCTGCTGTCATTCCTGCTCTGCCCACTGCGCACAGCCCACCCACCTTGGCTGTCCAGGCTGATGTCCATGACGCCATGCTTGACCTTCATGTGCCGGCTCAGGTTTCCCTTGAGGTTGAACTTGCTGGAGCAGTATGGGCACTTGAATGGCTTGCTGCCTGCATGCAGGTGCATGTGGCCCAGCAGGTTGTACATGCGGTTGAAGGACTTCCCACACACCTGCAATGGGGAAGGCACCAGAGGGCTGTGGGGAACCTGCCACCCTCCCCACACCACACACAGCATGCTGTCCTGTCCTGTGAAGCCCCCGTGGCACAGCAGGAGGCAGAGGACAGCCTTTTTGGTGGTCGCTGCTCCTTGTATCTAATGCTAGCTAGCTCTGAGATGGAGTTAGGAACTGGGGTTCACATCCTATCACAGGGTCCTGACCAGGCCCCTTCAATGGCTGCATCACAACCTTCACCCCCTCTCAATTCTCCCGAAGTTTCTGCAGCTTCAAGGCTCTGATCCCCACCTGCCCTGCTCAACCCCTCCAAGCCCAGGTAGGGACAGTCCCGTACCTTGCACTTGAATGGCTTCACGGGTGAGTGCACAATCATGTGAGTCTTGAGCGTCTGCTTCTGCACAAAGGTCTTGAAGCAGATGTGGCACTGGTAGGGCCGGACACTGGTGTGGATCAGCATGTGGCGCTTCATGTTGGCCTGCAGGGTGAACTCTCGGCCACATACCTCACACTTGAACTCCTTCACGCCCTGTGGGGGTAGAGGCACTGACAGGTGTGGCTCTGGGAAATTCCTTTTTATAAAAAAAGCGTTTGTATGTGTGGTGTGGTGTGTGTGTGTCACTTTCAGAACTTGGTTCTCCTTCTACCATGTGGGCTCTGAGCAGCATCCAGGTCATCAAGTTGGTGGCAAGCACCTCTTCCTACTGAGCTATTCTGCTGGGGTATGACAGGAAGGGCTGTTGTTCCAGGATGCTTTCCGGGACAAGGCAGACATAAACTGTGTGCCTTCCCATCCCTGCCTGCCAGGTGGGTGTGCAAGCAGGTCTGTTGTACCTATGTGCAGAGATATAAGGGGGTCTGTGCACCCAGCCACCCACTCATCCATTCATCTTTCAGTCCATCCACTCAGCAAACAGGCACGTGTACTTGCTAGGAGCCGGCACCACTAGCCTGTGGACCACAGCAGGGCAATGCCTTTGTCTGGGCCATTTTCATTACATCAAGGACGTGTTTGCTTGTTTATTTTTCAGTTACATCTCTTGGGGGACAGACCCTTTGGGAATATGATTAAAGCTATGTTGCCAGGGACAGAAGCTCAGCGGAGGAGAGCTCTTCTACCATGTGCAAGGTGTCCTAGGTTTGAGCCCAAGGGTGGAGGCTAAGGCAGAGGCAGAGGCAGAAGGAGCCTGTTTGAGGCAAGTTACAACCATACAGTGAGAACCTGCCCATAAAATAACAAAATGTTGGTAGGGGTAGGGAGAAGAAAACAAGAAAGAGCTGTGCATTGACAGTCATGATGGCACAGGCCTGTTAATCCCAGAGGTTTGGGAGAGATTGTGACAGTTGGGTGGAAAGTTCAAAGGTAGTCCAGGATACAGAGTGAATTCAAGGCCAACACAGACAACTTACCAATAAAAGCCGGGGGTGGGGGTGGGGTGGGGCTGGACTGGACAGTTGGCTCAGTGGTTAAGACCACTTGCTGCTCTTCCAGAGAACCTGGGTTCTGTTCCTAGCACCCACATGGTGGCTCACAACCCTCTGTCACTCCAGTTCCATGTAATGTGGTATACATACATAAATGCAAGCAAAACATTCTCCATGTCAAAGTAAACATATAAAAGCTGAGTATGGGGGCACAGAAGCAGACAGGTCTCTGTAAGGTTGAGACCAGCTAGGGATAGATTCATAGTGAGACTCTGGTGGGGGTGAGGGTGGAGTGGGGAGGTGCTGGGATTATATCTCAGTAGAAGAGCACACATCTACCAAAGGTTATGTCCTGAGTTCCATCAGAGAAAGGACAAAAGCCTTGTGCACCCTGAAGAAAAATGGCTAACATTCAGCTCTGCAGAGTTGTGGCCCCTTCATGCTCTTCCACAGCCTTGAAACAGGTGTGTTTCCCAGCTCTCCCTGGAGATGAGAGCCATCCATCCATAGCTGCTCCCCAGCAGACAGCCTGAAGCCCCTCTCTAAAGAGGCTCACTCAGGGGGCCTGGGATACCCCAGGAGACACTGGCTCCACAGCAAGTGTCTGGTCTGGACTATGCCACGCCTCTTCATGTCCCAGAGGTGACACTCACTCAGTACAGGAATAGGGTGCTGTGTGCACAGGGGATGCTGGGAGAGAAGGAAGAGTCACATTTGGAAGCAGTTCTCCTGCTGAAGGGATTTCCCTGAGACAAAAGCATGTCTCTGGTCACAGCTGCTGTCCCAACTGTCTCATATAAAACTTTTCTATGATGTGTTTGTTTTTGTGCATCTGTGCTGGTGGCCGAACCCAGGGTATTTATGATACTTTAACATTCCCATGTCTTTTCTCTTAGCAGCCAGGGGCTCTCTTTCGTGTTATACACGTGTTATATCCTTGCAACATGGGCAGGTCACATGACCACCAGAGGCCCCATTCAAGACTTGTGAGCAGGCGTGTGTGTGTGTGTGTGTGTGTGTGTGTGTGTGAGTGATTGAGACACTGACACACATGCTTTCTGCTTTCTTCACATACCCTTTATCTCTCAGTACTTCAGTATGTAGGGATTTTGAAATCTCTAAATAGAGGAGAAAGATTGCAATGCACAGCATAAACCATTCACTCCCACCCTAGCAGACATTAATAATCAATTATACAGTTTTGCTGATGATCCCAGATTCAGTGTCAGAATCCTTAACATTATATATACATTTGGCAGGTCAAGCCTCTGTAGTGGAACCCGCCAATGGTCCCTGCCCTAGCAGAGACATTCTGGGGGCTGGAGAAGTTTGGGGTCCTGGTTTCCCAGGCTCACTGTAGTGTTCACTGTGAGCAATATGGATTTGTCACCATGGGTTACCATACAGAGGAAGAAGCTACTCACAGCTTTGAAAGGTTAAGTTGAAGTGAGAAGGAAACCATGGGTCAGCTATGAGCCAGAATGGGATAGTTAGGCCTAAGAGGCTCCAATTCTGCCTTCCTGGGCATAAGGGCCTTTGGGGGAGGTGGTGATGGCTGAAAGGCGGGGGAAAACAACTGGTGACCTGGCGTCAGGAAGAAGAGGGAAAGGGGTGAAGGTTGGGTCTACCCACCTAGGTGATAAGAACGTGGCTGCTCAACTGTTCATCTTCACAAATTACTTTGCTTATGTGAGCCAACAACTTGTAGGCCACTTGTACTTTAAGACTTACATATTCGTTTTATGTGCATGTGTTGTGGCTGCTGAGGGTATCACATGCTGTTACAAGCAGAGGCCATGAGAGAGTACAGGGTCACCCTGGAGCTGAGAATCAGATCTGGGTCCTCTACAAGAGCAGCCAGTGCTCTTAACTGCTTAGCATCTCTCCAGCCCCTTTGCCTTTGTGTGCCTGTGTGTGTGCAAGTGTACATATGTGCACATATATGTGTGGAGGCCAAGTCAGCCTCATGTGCTGATTCCCAGGAGCTGTCCAAGCTGTTTTTTGAAATAGAGGCTCTCATGGGGGCTTGGAGCCCACTGATTGGGCTAGGCTGGTTTGCTAGAAAGCTCCAAGGATCGACCTACCTCCCCAGCACTGGGGTTCAAAGTGCATGCCATCATGTCTAGCTTTTTACACAGGTGTTAGGGACTGATTTCAGGTCCTTATACATGCACAACATATTTATTTATTGTGTGCATATGTGTGTGTCTGTATCTCAAACAAACTAATAGGAATTGGCTCTCTCCTTCCACCACATGGGTCCTGAGGATCAAACTCAGTTTCTCAGGCTCAGCAGTCAGTGCCTTTAGCTGCTGAGTCATCTTGCCGGCTTTCTCCAGCCCCACCTATCCCTCTTCTATAATCATATATATTCTGCCTTTTCCTAAAGGGAAATCAAAGGTTTTGTTATACTTTTGTGATAACAAGAATTCCAAGCTATCCTCTGCATTTCCGGTCATTGTATCCACCTGCCTGTACTCGGTCCTCACATCTAGGAAACAGAGAGGCACCCTTGCGTCCTTAGGAGTTCCACAAACATTTCACACAAAAATCTTCTAAGTTTCTCTTCTCTATGTGTGGTGTATGTGTGTGTACAGTGTGTACATGCAATGGCCCAGCTGCAAGCACAGATGTTTTCTTCAATTGCTTCTTTACCTGAATCTTTTTAATTTTTTTAAAAAAACTTATTATTTTCTATATGCATCGGTACTTTACTTACATGTATGTTGGTATGAGGATGCCAGATCCCCTGGAACTGGAGTTACAGACAGTTGTGAGCTGCCATGTGGGTGCTGGGATTGAATCCAGCAGCCAGTGCTCTCAACCACTGAGCCATCGCTCCAGCCCCTCCACCTGATTCTTTGACACTCACTGAACTCAGCATTTTGACCATGCCCTCTGGCCAGTAGCCAGAGAGCAGATGGGATCCAACTGCCTCCTCTCTCAACTGCACATCTCCATACCCAGCTTTTGCAGGTTTGCAGGGAACCTGAACTCAGATCCTCATGTTTACACAGCAAGCATTTACCCACTGAGCCATCACCCCAGGCCTCAAGGACATTTCAAAGCTAAGTTTTTACTATTGAAAAAAACTAATTTCAGTTATGTTTCTAATACTCTACTAAAATTTCTAAGTATGAAAATAAGTAAAGTCTCGGGCTGGGGAGATGGATGGCTCAGCAATTAAGAGCACTGGCAGCTCTTCCAAAGGACCCAAGTTTGATTCCCAGCACACATAGCCGCTCATAACCATCTGTAATTCCAGTTCTAGGGGATCTGATGGTCTCTTCTGGCCTCCATGTGTGTCAGGCACACACTGTGGTGCACAGACACGCATGCAGGCGAAAAACTCAACACATAAATAAGTACACCTAAAAAAAAAAAAAAAAGTTTACCTGTGTATTACCCAAACCCTCTCATCCAGGACCTGGGGGTGCTGGAATGAGGGTAACAGCGGGACAGGAGGGACAGCCATGGCCAGTAGGCTTACCTTGTGGGTGAGGGAGTGCTGCTTGAGGTGGTGTATCTGGCTGAACTCCATGCCACATTCTGTGCACACGAAGGGCCGCACATTCTGGTGTTTGAGCATATGGTTTTGTAGCTGGCTTCGGTAGTGGAAGGACTTGTCACACTCGAGGCACTGGTAGAGGGTGGGGCCCTGGTGGGAGGCCAGATGGCGCTTGAGCTGGGTCAGAGTGGAGAAGTCTAGGCCGCACTCGACACAGACGTGGCAGCGGCCACTTTCGTGCTTTACCTCGTGGGCCTTAAGCTCGCTGGGGTAGGCAAAGCCACGGCCACAGAAGTGACAGCTGTAGGGCTTGACCTCAGAGTGCAGCAGCATGTGGCGTTTGAGGTGGCTGGTCTGGGTGAAAGCCTTGTGGCACACCTGGCACTTGTGGGGCCGTGTGCCCTGGTGTGTCAGCAGGTGCGTCTGCAGGTGGCTGGGTTGCTTGAACAGCTTGCTGCAGTGTGGGCATGAATGTGGCTTGATGCCATTGTGGCCCAGGATGTGCGTCACCAGGTTGTACTTGGATGTGTAAGACTTCTCACACATGCGGCACTGCCAGCGTTTCTGGCGGTCGCCCGCCTCCACTAGGTAGGAATCATCGATCTGCACATTGATGTCCAGCCGGTCCAGCTGTGCCTTCTTGTGCCGCTCCACTGTGGAGCCTGCTGTGTCTGCCTCGAACTCGCTGGACTCCTGCCACACAAAGCCCTGTTCTGGTTTGACCAGCTCTGGCGGTGTCATGGTGGGAGGCTCAGGATTGCTCAGGGGGGCCAGGTGAGGCGGCTCAAAACCACATTCGGTGGGCAAAGTCTCTGGTCCGGGTAGTGCCATGCTGGGCTCAGGGAAGCCATCCCGGGTTGGATCGGGGAAAGGAGGATCGAACGGGGCCATGTCCAGCTCTGGCCTTGGAGTTCGAGGCAAGTGCCGGAGTGTCCGCGGCTTGCGGCTGAAGGCGCTGAGGTCGATCATCTTGACAGCACTGCTCTGCACCAGGGTCTCGCAGCCACCACTGGCCACCTCGGCAGGGGCCTCTGAGGGTCCCAGGTCCTTGTCATCACCAGGCACAGATACCTCATACACTTCCTGCTCCTCTTCCTCTTCTGTCTTCTCAAACTTGACCTTGGGTACCAGCCGCACAGGGGGGCGTGTCTTCCTCCGGGTGTGCTTCTCAAAGGCTGCCTCTACCTCCAGCACCTCCTCTTCCGGGGGCTCTTCCAGGGCCCGCCCATTACAGGCCAGCTGATAGATGTCAGGTCCTGGTGGTCCTGGCTCCCCAATAGCTGTCCCAGATAGTTCTGGCCCTAGGTCTGGGTAAAAGGCCTCAGCACTTATGGTGGCTCCAAAGAGCTCATTTTCTGAGACCAGGCCCAGCACAGCAGCCTGAGCCAAGGACAGCACCACCACAGCGTCCGTCTGTGTCCCTGAGTCCATGAAGCCCTCCATCCCGCGGCGGCTAGCTAAGAGGGCATTTCTGTGGGAGGAAAGGGGCATATTAATACCGTTAGTTCAATGCTGATTGGGCAATAGACTCAGTGAGGACAAGTGCCAGCTAAATTGGGGGGGGTGGCTCTGATGTCATGTGACCCCTGCCTTGAGAACAGGATATGATTGTCCTAATGGGGAGCAATGACAACCTCTGTGTATCTAGCCAGCCCCTCCATCTTCTGAGAGGTCCTGGATAAGCCCCACCCCCTAAGTCTTCCCAACTGTAAAACAGGGAGGAGGGTGGATTTCAGTTGTAATTGTTCCTCTTCCTTTGAGACAGGGTCTCACTATGTAGTTGTAGTGGCCTAGAACTCATTGTCCTCTTGCCTCAACCTCCCAAGTGCTAGGATTACAAACGTGTGCCTCCACACCCAGCTGTTCAGGAACTGATTCCTTTCCGCCTCTACCTTCTTTGGTGGCATATGCATGTATGTGCAGGTGCATGTGCCATGTGTGCACCTGCATGAAGGTCAATGATGTCGCCAACCGGCAAACCCAAGGGATTCTCCCAACTCTGCCTTCCGGCTCTGGGGCTACAAGTCACACTTGGATCTTTAATTGGGTCCTCATGTTCGTGTGGCCAGCACTTTACCCACAGAGCCATCTCCCCAACCCATGTTCAATGGCTCTGCAACAGTCTTAGAGGTTCTTCATGGGGGCCTCAAAAATCTGTCTCAAAAGCACAAACATAACTCTATTCTCTGTTTTTAGACAGGATCTCAGCATGTAGCTGAGGCTAGCCTGGAATTTGCTATCTTAGAGCCTTAGCCTCCTGAGTGCTGGAATTACAGACATGTGCCTCCAAGCCTGGTGATTTATGAATGAAGTTGAATAGCTTTTGCAGAGCTGGGGATTGGACCCAGGGCTTTGAGCATGCGAGGCAAGCACTCTTCTACTGAGCCATAGCCCAGCCCTTCTGTTTTCAAAATTAATTACTCTATTATTTTAAGACCTGATTAAAAAACCCACCTACTCAAAATATAATGTACCACATTCTAAAGCATGTCAAGAGTCCCATGGCTGTGCTGCTGGGGTAATTAATTCTGCACAGGCCCTGGGAGGTACTGAGGTGTTAAACAATCGTTGCCATTAGTGATGGCATGGCTGCATGAATGAGGATTTTAAATATATATAATAGAAACAATACAGCATACAAAAATAGATCATACTGGTTTTAAACATGGGCTACCACTGGTCAGCCCTAATGCTAAATAGTCTATCATAGGAATCATTGTTTTTCCTAATTAACTAAATGCCATCCATATGCATAGATATCCAAATATACTGATAAAAAAAAAAAAAAAGACAGCTTTAGCTGACATTGGAGTTGCGCCTCAGATCTGATGTCTACCGACTGTGAGACCACTGTCTGATTGACTGTTAAAACTAGATCCTTCGGTACCCCCTGTCCAGTTGTAAAACCAGCAAAGGTGTCCTCCTTTCTCCTGGCTGAGCACCATGAACTCCACCTTCCCACATGTAGGGCACCACCCTACTGCGGTGCCCCTTCCCAGCACTGTTTGGGTGCTCTGCCACCAGTCTGCTGGTTCTTATGCCCACATCAGCTTCCCCAGGTCTGTGCTGTGGGTGCCTCCTTCTGGGCTTCGGATGTTCATGCCCCTGTGCCTTGCCCTGGCTCAGTCCCTAACACCCCCCAGAGAGAGAGGGGGGCGGCACTGTGGGCTGGCTCCTGCCTGCTCTGCCCCCTGCGCCGGGCCAGGCACAGGGCTGGTGGACAGCCCTTCCTCAGGAAGTCAGCTTCCTGGTGCTGCCCTCCCCCAGCACTAGTGGAGCTTCCTCTTCCTGAGGCTGGCTAAAAATACCCCAGACAGGAATCCGGCCTCCTTGCAACAGACACGAAAGATTAGACTATTAAGCTCAGAGCCGCTTTGGTGCAAGGGTCAGTAGGAATCCTGCTGGGACTTTAGGGTCCATCTGGAACTGACCAGGCAGCTAAGATTACTTCTGGACACCCTCTACTCCATGACCAGCTGTACCTGACTACAGATTTCCCATTTCAGTCACTTCTCATTGATTACAAAAGGTCATTTCTGTGCCTCAGTTTCTCCATCTAAAACACACAAGAGAGGTACCAAATCCTCAAGAGCATAATTTAGTACAAGGTTCTTAGTTGATTACAAAGCCCTAAAAGAACATAGCTTTATCATCTTAGATCCTCAGGAAGAGGACAGTCACAGGGCTGGAAAAATGTCCCATCCTTGGGCCCCGAATTCAGCAAAGCTTGGGGTGATTTTGAGGATAGCTATCAGGAACTGTGTGTAGAGAGAGAAGGTAAACAAGACAGGGGCTCTATCCCCATGGAGCCCACAGGAGTCCTGCTGGGTCCATCACAGCTATGTCCAGTGCCCACTAGCCACTGCTGCCTTTCCCGAATATACTAGGAAATGTCACTGCTTGCCATACCAGCCCATCCCAGATGCAGCACCAGGTAGCAGCCCAAGTGTGTGTGATGGCTTCAAGCAAACAATACACTTAGCACATTTCCTAGGTCTTCCCAAAGGCAGAACCCATGGGATAGAGGGAATGGCCAACCATGGCAAAGCCTGTGCTTGGAACTTGGTCCTGGAAGCTGGGTGTGATAGCACACGCCTATAATCCCAGCACTTGGAAGGTAGACTAGGTTTGGGAGTTCAGAATCATCTATCCTCAGCTACATACTGAGTTTTGAGCAAACAAGAGTAACAACAACAAAGAACTTGAGTTGAATACTGAGGTCAGTCTTAGGCTTGCCATGTCCTAATGTGTCCCAAACCTCTCAGTTCCTTCATTTCACTCCTACGGAGGTTCTCTGACTTGAAGCAGACTCAAGATGACATGTGTGGCTTTCCTCAGAAGCCCAGATGTCACAGACACCCCTGCAACCTCAAGAAAATGGTGCACATGTGGACGGAGTGACCACTGACTACCGCCAAGCCTGCCTGAGGGAGCAGGAGTGTGAGTCTGTTCCCCTGTTGTGAGAAACATCATGCAATTAACCATCCAAACTGGGGTCCCCTCCAACGAAGAAACTCCCCTTACACATCCAGGGTGCAAACCAAGCCTATCCCCAGCCATTTGGACTTATCGTGCTCCAAGAATGGGTGGTTTTGACTGGAGCCTGCTCTGGCTGTCAAAAGGGGCTTGCCCAGAGTCAACAAGCTTCAAGAGGCAAGGGTGGGGGCTTAAAAACTGTCAATCATGAGCTACAGACCCAGCAGAAGCTCTACAGCTTATCATCACTGAGCATTCCAAACCCCATTTAACCCTACTCCACAGGCTGGGGAATGGTGCCTAAGCCACAGTGACAGGAATTCTTAATTAGCAGAGCAGAGCTGGGTGGCACCAGACATCTCTAGCACCCAGGGCAACTCCAACTGCAGAGCAGAGCTGGGTGGCACCAGACATCTCTAGCACCCAGGGCAACTCCAACTCCAAGTTGCCAAATCTGGAGGTCAGATTGCCGGAGCTCCCCAGGGGTACCCGAGGCCAGCAGAAGCCTGAAACCTGGTGGCAAGGGAATAATGTCCACATGGTCTGGTCTCTTGGGATAGCCATGTGCATGCATGAGTATATATTGTGTCTGCCCAAAGGGATGTGTGTAGAGGGGACTCTACTGAGAGGTGGAGAGAAAGACAGATCCTAAGTGACTTGCTGCTCTGCCTGTGGGTCTGATGGACAGAGATAAGTGGAGGGGGGTTGGCCTCCAATCCAGCATCCCTTTCATCCTCTTGGACCATTTTTTTTTGGTTTAGTTGTCCCCAAGTGCCCTGGCTCCTTCTCACAGGCTAGAGTCCTTCTGTTTGATGCCCTGGCCCAGACTGCTCAAGGCGGAAGAGCCCACAGGGGATCACACCATTTGTGGCACAGGGATGCTGCCGGCCCCCAGGGCCCTCTATGGCTCCTCCCTTCTCAAGGCAAAGTACTGGGGATCAACCAAAGCTCCTGACAGTGTCCAAGAGAAGAGAGCTTGGAAGGCCTTGTTCTTCCAAACTGTGTGGGGTGGGGTGGGGTGGGGATGCTGCAGCATCCTTTAGTGCATGCACCTCTGCTAAACTCCTCCCACTTCCCAGCCTGTCTCCCCTCTCCCCAGGGTGTGGAGAAAGTAAATGTTAAAGACATGGATAAAGAGTAGCAGGCAGAGTGCAGTAATGCAGGAGTGGGCTAAGGGAAAAAGAAAAGGGGAGGGAGAAAGAAGGCGGGAGGAGACGGAGAGGGGTAGAAGAGGGGGGAGGGGGAGGAAGAGGCTGTGGAGGGTAAGAAACAAAGGCAGGGAGGGGGAAGGGGACTCACAGTGACACAGAAGCCCAGGGCTGCCCTATTTCCCAGGGCTCAGCATCACCTCTGGGCCAGGGGGTCAGGCCTGATTCTGGGGAGGGAGTAAAGTCTCCCTTTGAGAACCAGCAACAGGCTTCTCAACCCCACAAGGGCCCCCAGCTTCTCACTGTTACTCCAAAAGTGCTTTGTCTCTGTTCTATGGCTCCAGGGATGAGTGATAAAAGCCCAGGGACCATGGGCAAGTCACCTGACACCTTGGAGTGTCCCCATCTATAAAACAGACACAAGGGCCGACTTGGAATCTCAGGGTTACCAGAATCTAAAGCCGACGTCCTAACTGCCTGCCACACAGGCTCCCTTCATTACACAGGGCCCTAGTGGCGCCTAGCCTTCACGGAGAGCCTCTCATACCCCTGTGTAAGGATAAAGATGCTTGGCTGGGTGAGGGTGGCATAGACTTTCCATCCCAGCACTAGGGAGGCAGAGGCAGGAGTATCTCTTGAGTTTGAGGCCAGCCTGGTTTACGTAGTGAGTTCCAAAACAAAACAATAACAACAAAATAAAATATAGAAAACCAACCAAAGTCAGGGGCGTTCACAGGCTTCTTGTGTTCTCCCTAGCTGCTATGACTTAATTTCCCGAGGGCCCAAGAGGACCCACTCCCCAGTTAGCCCCCAGGCCCTTCTTCTCAGCCTTAAATCATGAGGTTAC